GGCTCCGACATGTTTTTGGCCGGGAAAGGTCTGGAGCTGACTAATATATTATAATCTGACGGGTTTCCTGTTTATTATCAGCGAGAAAGACTGGTTTGATATACAAGGAACCCGGCAGCTGATAAAAATACAATTTAAAATTTTCGCGCGAAATTAGTGGAAGGCGGCAAATCAATAAAATCTGAAAGCTAGCATCTATGGACTGTGTCTCCATTATCAATATGAAATATGAATAGAAAGGAGATTAAGACTACATATTATCGAAGCGAAAGGGTATGGTTTAGTAGAGCATTCTCGAATCCCGATACTAAAGTTGGCATAAATGTACAGATGATCGAAGAATTCCAAGATCTCATTTGGGAAAGACCGGTCGACGATGTCCTACCAACATTAGGTAATCTATGATCTCYAACTAGTTCGGCTAACAGTCTAGCATAATATCTCATTCTCTAGAGTTTCCGAGGGAGGCTGATTATCACAGTTTAGTCATTGGATGAAAATGTTTAGTCATTGCCGACTGATATGTTGTTGTTATTAGTGAGATTATTTTACTTTAATACCTMTTAATTAAGGTGCTTCAAATCAAAYCAAATTGTGAATGAAAAATGTAGTGAAGCCTTATTTGCTGATTTACAACGCATTCAAATCGACCTTTGATTGATTAAAGCCTCAGATTCGGACGCATGTTTACGTACGAGTTTGAGTACGATCGCAAATGTTTATTTTCATTTTTATAAATTTTAAATGATAATTCAATAAGTAAAATATTATGTAGCAGGAGTTGAATAAATATCTGTCGATGAAGTGCGCTTAAAGGTTCAGTAGTGTAATGTATAGTTGCTCGGTTACAGGAGTGCAATTATCTTCAACTTATACCCAGGTTATACGTCTAACTTCACATGTGCCATAGTATTCTGTTAGTCTTAAAATGCATTTAAAAAATATCAATGCTTTTACAGAAAATGTGTAGAAATACGATTGTAATTATACTGATAATAAAAATGATAGCAAAGAAAAACACAAATTACATGCATATTGATAAAAAACGCTTAAAAACAAATTTCTATTCTATTGTTTCGGTACTGTGAAGTTCGACGTATAATSTAGGCCTTGAAACAGATATTACTGATATAAGGCCAAATTAGTAGTTCAAACTTGCGGCGCGTTAATAGTAAATACACTATACATATATATATGGTTACCCTTCGATCATTGTGCAGAAAAGTTTGTTTTACTAATACAATTTATGTACATTTTTTTAATCCCAGATATTACTCCAGATGAACTGTCTAGACTTGCCGCGAATGGTACGAGGGGTTGGCTTGCTACTGATCATGTCTCATGGGTTGTAAGACATTTAAATTCCATTCAGACGGAGACAATCTTTATATG